CTACTTTGTTATGGCATGCAATCTTTTTGTTTTTATACCAATGACCTTAAATTATCTTATACAAATACTTTTAGAAAATCCCCCTTCAACACTAATTTATGAAATTTTTTTATTATAAGTGATAGTAAAATATTTTTATAACCGAGTTAAAACCCTCACCCTTTTCTTTTACCCCACTTTATGTAAAACTGACGATTATTATCACCAACTCTTGTTCTATCTCAAAGTCGTTCCACAAAAAAATTAGAGAGCCTAACAAACCATATGAATGCATTGCATTTTGTATATTTGTCTCTCAACTACATATATTATTCTTCTTAACGCAAGTTTACGTAACCATTTCATTTTTTTGCATTTAATTTTAATAGAAATTCACCTTATAAGCACCATCGTATTGGGCCACTTCCTCGCCCAATATAAAGACACGTTCATCACGTGCCATTTCTTCATCCAGAGCACTGTTTAAGGCATCTCTGACGGTCATTTGTTGTGCAGCCAACGATCTGGATGCGGTGGTCGATAAACCACGACGAGCTACGCTCATAACCATTTTCATAGGTTTCATCATTTTGTTGGACAAAATAATGCTTCGTTCGTGTCGTGGAAAAAGAGTAACTGCAATTAAAAGAACCGCGTTTTTTTATTACAACTAATTTATTTAATATGCAATTGTGTAATTTTTTCTCAATTAACTGAAAATTTTCTTTTTTTGCAAGTTTTCACAACACCGTACCGTCGTCGTTCGCAATGCGAGATGTCAATGAATATCTAAATGACGTTTGGAAAATTAGAGTTGATTTTTTGATCGATGTGAACAAAACATACCTATTTAACATACTTTTTCCCAGAGTTGTATAAAAACGTACAAACCTTTGATTTTATTTATTTAGTACTTTTTTAATAAAAGTGCAGTATAGGTACAGGGCACACCATACTAAAGTGTTAAATTTTGATATTAATAAATGTAAACGATTTTCGATAGAGAATTATACCAGAAATAGAAAATTTTAAAAATTCTCTTACACAAATTTTTAGAAAATTCTATTATAGAATATTCGAAAAATTCTCTTACAGAAAATTTTAAAAATTCTCCTACAGGAAATTCAAAAATTCTCTTATCAAAAATTTAAAAAACTCTCTTATAGAAAATTTAAAAAATTCTCTTATAGAATATTTTAAAAAATTCTCTTTTAAAAAAAAAATCTATTTTAGAATATTCGAAAAATTCTCTTATAGAAAATTTAAAAAAAAATTCTCTTATAGAAAATTTAAAAAATTCTCTTATAGAAAATTTAAAAACTTCTCTTGTAGAAAATTTAAAATATTCTCTTATAGGAAATTCGAAAAATTCTCTAATAGAAAATTTAAAAAATTCTCTTATAGAAAATTTAAAACATTCTCTTATAGAAAATTTAAAACATTCTCTTACAGAAAATTGATGCACTTATAGAAAATTTTAAAAATTCTCTTTAGAAAATTTAAAAAATGGTGTTATAGAAAATTTTAAAAAATTCTCTTACAGGAAATTAAAAAAATTCTCTTATAGAGAATTTAAAATTTTCTCTTATAGAAAATTAAAAAAATTATTTTATAGAAAATTTAAAAAACTCACTTATAACTAATTTTTGTAAAATTATTTTATAAATAAATGTGAAAATTTCTAGATACATTTTCTTTCTATATTTTGCTATTAACAAAATCGGTCAGATATTGTGGTGCCAAAAAGAGATATAAAAATTTTCGGAGATAATTGTCCTAGATACCGAATTAGGGGGTTGTCACTTTCGAATACCACATAATTGGCTAATTTATTTTACTTTCTTGTGCAACTGTGTATGTAGTTTTTTGATAGTTCGGTTTGTTACCGGTATGTTTTCTTCACGCGGGTGATTTTTTGTTGGGAGAAAGTGCTGCTAGAATACCCGTTAATACAACAACCTTTTGATAAAACAGCAAACCCTAACAGCTGTTTTTGATTGTTGTGTGGTGAGTTTCTGTAAAAACAAACAAATGAAACAAAAACAAATTACTAGACATATTTATTTTGTGCTAAGAAAAATTTATGTATTTTAATAATGTTTTTTAGCCAGTGCAAGTGTTCTTGGTGTACACCAAAGAATATAAAGAAATTGGGGCTTGTCAGTTGGTACGTAAAATAGTTGTCATTCGGTACCTAACTCTAAGTATGTATTGGTAGAATTTTTGTATTAGTATTGGAGCTCCAACCACTTTCACCACACTTTCCAAACATACATACTTGCATAAAATCGTACATAAAAATTTTAGGAAAAATAAATAACATTTAAATTTCTACATTCGCAGATTTTTAAATTTATTTTGCCCACATCTAATCAGTAAACATTTAATAAATATATTTTTCGGACTTAAAATCTCTTTTTATGCAAAAAATAAGTTTATTTTAAATAATTTTTTCATTTTCAATACCAAAATATACAACTTTGTTTTGTCAATTTTAATTTCAACACACAAAAATTAATTGTCAAAAAAATTAAAAAAATATTTTTTTTTTAGTTTGTGAAAAATAAAAATATTTCGGATTGTTAAATGCGATAAAATTGTGTAAAAAATTAAAAAATAGTTATGTGTTTGTGAAAAAAACGTCGTTCAAGTCCTATTATCCCGGTATTTTCGCGAAAAAGTTTTGAAGTATTGTGACAGAATTGAGTTCTCATAAGTGTGTTGAATTTACACAGAACTCGTCTGTGAAGAGAAGGAAATGTTTTTGTTGTAAAACAATGTCATAGTCCAACTTCTTATTATTCTTTGGTGTACACCATCTACCCCAATAATAATCCCGGTTTCTTTAGAATCAAGTATTTTTAAAACGGTCATATATAATGTGCAATTCATTCTATATTCCATGACTGGTTGATAGAGTCACGGAATCCATCGGAGATCAACCTAAAAAAAATGAAAAAAGGGTGGCTTTAACTTCTTGTTCCGTTCATATGGGGCAAGATTCGAGCCTCATCGTATCAGTTCGCCAGATACATCATTTGTGTATATTGCAGGGTCCTGGTACCCAACACAGCCTTATTGTAAAAGGTTTCATAATAACACTTAGATCTTTTCTTCATTCTACGACTATGCAAGAATACAGCTATGACATATTAATGCTTTAAGTGCAGCATGACTATCAACCTAAAATCTTACCAGAGACCGGCGAACAATGTGCTTCTATTATTATACTATTAGTTTCGTCACATTAACACCGTTTGCAACATATCGAAATATTGGTCTAATGTCCATAAAAGTATATGCTGGGATCTTATTACAGTCTTAGACCATCTAGCCAATATTTGCCAAAATAATTTTAGTTGATGGAGTTTTTTATTGAAAATGGACACTATCGGTATACGATAAACTCATCAGGGAGTCAAGGAACTTTTACACCGAAATATTGGTATAAAATCCGTAAAAGTATAGACTGGGATCTTAGCCAATATTTGCCAAAATATTTTTTGTTGATGGAGTTTATTATTGAGCTTCTATATTCCAGTATAGCGAAGAAAAACGACAAAAACAAGTTTTATAGGAACTAAAATCTGTTTGCCAAATTTTATGAGAATCGCTTGACACTGCTCTCATATAAGGTTCCTCTCAGGAAATTATTTTACAAGATTTATATGATCCAAAACCTTTCTGGATTGGTCCAAAATTGACCCTACCCCCATATAAGTTCCCCTTCAGAAAAAGATATTAACTCCAATAATTATAATAAAAATACCAATATAGCAAAGAAATTCCACATAAACAAGGAGTCAAAATCGTTTTGTCAAATTTAAGGGGATCGGTCTATAATTTAACCTATCCCCGATATAAGGTCCACGGTAAATTACTACCGCTCATAACTGGCTTAAAAAATGTATATCTATAAAATTCGACATGACGGACGTGCACAAGATCGTCCGATAACAGTTATATATCATTTTCTATATATGTACATACTGCCATAGAAACATTTTTTGTAAAAAAAAGTTTGTTGTTGTAGTACACACCCTAAAACGATGAAATCCGGAAAAAATGTATGCCATCCGATTTCTACACTTCCAACTTAAAGTTCTATATAGGTTTTTATCGTGCACAAGATCGTCCGATAGCATTTATATATCATTTTCTATACATGACCATAGTAACATTTTTTTAATGTTTTTTATTAAAAGGCATTCTGTAACGATATAATCCCAAATATATTTATATTTTATCAGATTTGTTCCTTTCCACAATTATATACATATTTTAATTGATTAAAGTAAATTATGAAAATCAATTTTTTTGAATCTTTTCCACGTGCATAAACACATTGAAAATGTAAATAAAGAAAACGAGTTTTTGCGTCTTCCACGTGCAGAAACACATATTTGCAAACAAAAATAACTCACCACACCAAAAAATATGTTTATTTTGATAAAACAGCTGTTACGGTTTGTTTTATATTCGTCGGGTTGTTTTCTTTACGTGCGTGCTGCTAGATGGAGATTAAGAAAGTTTTATAATCGACTTTCGAACAATCGACTTTTTGTCGAAAAGACAAAACGTCGAAAATTCGACTTTGTAAATAAAAGTAGAAAACAATTTATAGAAAAACGAGTCGAATTTTAGGAGTTTTTTGAAAAACATGATTTTTTTTAAAAAAATACGTAGTATGTGTGCGAGTAGTATTAATCTATTGAAAAAATTTAATATTTTTTGCCGTTAGAATATAATTCAATAACAAATGTCGTATTTTACTTGAAGAAGCAGAACAGTTTTTTACAACTTGAATTAATTAGTATATTTCTTTAATTAATTAAATTAAAAACAGATAAGAAATCTATTTGCCTAATTAAATTTATCACATTTGTTTAACCACATAATTAATAACTTTGTAAGTAACCGTTATCTTTCGAATATTTCTTATCAGCATAAAAATTCCTTCAAACAGCTGTTGAAGGAAATTCTTATAGTATAAATATTCAGTCTTCTGGCAACGCCAAATTTATATAATTTTGTTTGTTTTGGTAGCCAACGTCAAATTTTTTTACATTTCTACTTTTTTCACGGTAAATTCTATTGAAAAAAACTTTTATCTAAGTGCAAGTGAAAAAACTCGTGTAATAAAGTCATAAAATTGCAATTACAATTGGTAACATCAGATATCATTTACGTAAATTAAGTAGATTTTGGCAAAATATGGAAAAAATTTCAAAAATCTGGATTGGTCCTCTGCCACAGGACTCTCCATATGTTAAACCATTCCGTTTCTACTATGTGCAAAATGGTCAGGAAAAGAACTGGGATCTAATGAAAGTACACGATAGTGTATCCATTGTTATTTTCAACACCTCGCGACAAAAGTTAATTTTTGTTAAACAATTTCGTCCAGCTGTATTTCATGGCATTGTTACTACGGATGGTGGCGACATTAGTAATGTTGACTTGAACAAATATCCCCCATCATTGGGTGTCACTATGGAACTCTGTGCTGGTATAGTCGACAAAAATAAAAGTTGGCAGGAAATTGCTCGTGAGGAAATTCTAGAGGAGTGTGGTTATGATGTGCCTGTCGAGCGGGTACAAGAAGTTATGACCTACAGGTACTCTACAAACATATTATTGATTAAGCTAACTTTGTTTTAAGAAATTTTATTATATTTTAGATCTGGTGTGGGTTCTCAAGGTTCTAAGCAAAAAATGTATTATTGTGAAGTCACTGATGCCGATAAGTGTTCTAGTGGTGGTGGTGTCGACGACGAACTTATCGATGTTGTCGAATGTTCCATAGAAGAGGCTCGCAAAATGGTACAACAGGGTTCGGAAAATAATAGTCCCCCAAGCTGTTTATTGGGTGTAATGTGGTTTTTAACGAATAAAGCTCCTAAAAATTAAAAATTATTTTATAATGAGAGCTCTTGTACCAAAGTTGTTTGAAAAACTCCAAACATTTTAATTTGCTAACAACAACAAATGAGGCAAGCATTATTGATTTTTTTATATATTCGGTTTGAGTATTGATCACAGCCTTTTTCTATTCACTTCCAATAAGAAAAATATCTTTATAATACTAAAAGCTTTGAATTTACGTACATATTATATATTCCAGTTTATTGTGATTTCAAATAAAATTTCAACAAAAATTTTAATTTAATTATTTTACTTTTTTTTACAGATTTGCGGAGGTTATTACTGAAGAATCAGTTTTTGTTAGCAATAAATTTTTTATTTCATCAATTCCTCATCATTTTATTAACATTATTTTTGGTTAAAAAAACATTTACATCATAGCTTCATACATTATTATTGGTAAGTCGTTCAAAATCATTCATTACATATTTGAAATCTATCATATAATTCCAAATTTTCATTAAAAATATGATTTTCCTCTTAAAATTTCACAATCCAATTTTCCTCGGCAATCCATTTTCGTTAGTAAACTTATTTAGATTTCTACTAAAATGTATTTATTTGTCCATTATAATAAAACTTCAAATTGATTTACCGATTTGACAATTATCTTATATCCCTTGTAGTGAAGCGTCTCTGGTGGGAAACAAACCCACAACTCCCAGATAGGCTACCAACAAGCATATCGTGACTAAAATTTATATTTTTAATTAAAATCCATTTTTTTTCTAAAAATCGATTTTTCACTAAAATTTTATTTTTTTTATTAATAATTAAAATTTTAAGAAAACCTTTAATTTTGAAAAATATTATATTAAAAAATTGTATTATTATAAATCCCTAACAAACAATACGAACATTACTCCAACAATTAAAAAAATGCTTTTGAAAAAATGAGGGTCAATCAATTAAATTTTACACAAATTGGCTGAAATCCCAATCAAACCAAACAATATCGAAAATTCAGTCAAAATCTAATAATTTCATAAATTTTAACAAATTTATTTAACTTTTCTTAATCAAGAACTATTTTGACTTATTTAATGTTATTATTGTTCTGGGGTGGCAGACATGTATGCGTGTGATTTGCTCTTCCAATGACAAAGTTCTTTTTTCAAGTCTTTTGTTTTGCATGACATAAAACAAAGATTTTGCTGCAACCATCACATACTTTCTTTGAATTCACATAAAAAAGCAATAAATAACAAATGATTGTACAAATAAGACTAAAACATTCATCCAACAACAACTACTGACTGTTACTGCACAACAATCACTAGAGTATTAAATGTTTTTTTTTTGTAGTTTTGCATAAAAAGGTAATAAAACAAGAAACAATTTTATTAGAACACGACACAAATGGTAAAAATTGTTTTACAAAGATAAACTAACATAGAAACACAACCATCTAGAAAAAATAATAAATATACAAATAGAATACAAGAAGACGTGTGTCATTAAATGTGTTCGAAATGCCACTGTTTGTGATATTAAATTGACTTTAATGGAATAGTGGTACTGGTACTAAATACTATGATTGGTTTGTGGGATTTTGAAAATGTACTAAATTTGAAAGTTTGAATTGAAATAAAACAAATTGTTTTTGTTGTTAAAATAAAGTTAGCGCCTTAACATTTTAATCTTCTTTACAACCTTTGTTTTTTATTTATCCTTAAATATGATTTAAACTTATTTTTATTACTAGGATGAAGTCTTCGTTATATAATTGTCGCAAATAGGTTTTATGCATCCGCATTTGTGGTATTTATTTTTATATTATCAAAAAACGTGTCTTATTTTCAAAATGATTGTCACCACTTAAATTCTCCTTAATTTCCACATCTTCATTCCTGTACAAAGAAATATTTATTACACAAACATTTAAAAAGATCAACCTTAAGATGAGTGTTTTTTCAGTTTTAGCAATCAAATAAAATTAAATAAACAAACGACAGAGAGAGAGAGAGGGAGAAAAAAAGATTAACAGTAACAAAATTATAGAAATATTTTCCTAAAATAGATCTTAAACAACTCTTGTAAAGTTTTCAATGGCTCAGCTCAATTTCAATGTAATAAAACAACTTACTGCACAGGATATCTATGTGTACATTCATACCTACAATAACTCTAGATACAAATATAGGTAGTATGTATTTGCTACTTTGATACTTTGCTCTGGTGTTCAAGTTGTATGTATATTTTGGTTTCAGATATGTTTTGCAGTTTTGTTAAGTTTTTTTCTTCTGTGTGTTAAAATTGAAACAAGAAAAACTATTATCAATTCTACATGGCTAATTGGTTTTGAATTTATGGACCTGTGTTAAATATTTATGTATGTCGTCTTTCGACAACATCCAAATACCACAATTTTAAAATTGTCTAAACGAAATTACTTATCCCGCTGTTGTGGGGTGGAGATGGTAGACGGGTCTCAATAAACGTAATATGTACAACAAACATGATCACCATATGGATTGTATATGTAAGTTTTTAAGATGATATTGTTACTACAATATCAGTAAACAGCAGCAATAACAGATCAGCGATTGTTTCTGTTGTTGTTTTCTTTCTTCTTTATTCTTCTTCGTCTTTTGAGGGATTTTGGTGGAGCTCTAGTATGTACGGTTTATTATAGGTTCGGTAATATATAACAAAATGGAATAGTTTAGTATTTTAAGCAGAGGGGGCTTTCGAGAAGTTATAGAAAAGGATACTTACGGAAATTGGATCGGAATTTGCTAAATTTGGTTTTCATTTTGGCTTGGTTATGTCATTTAGTTGGTGCGTTCTGAAACGAACACGTCAAGAAATATAAAATCTTTTTTAATTAACATCACATGTTTAAAATTTAGTGTTGTTTTTTATTTTGAAACGTCATCGCTGCGATCATCCAAACTTATCAAAAATCGATAGTTCTTCCATGAACATTTCTATAACTAAATAACAAGATTATCACAATCAATTTGATGAAAACTAACATTCTCTACCCCAACGATAACCGACGTCTTTGATAACAGTTTATATTTACTATTATTTTACATAGACATAGCTGCATAATTGGCATTCAATTTGCAGCAAATTGTTGCAAAAGCCACGACTACAACATAACCAAGCAACAACAACAATCGAAACTTTTGTTGGTTTCTTAGCAGGCGTATTTAGATTACAAGAGGATAAACAACCAATTTTTTCCAAAAGTTTTTTTTCTTCGTTATTGCTGTTGTTGCAGATATTCTTGGTATCATACACATTTCTTGTGTTGTTTAAGACCAATAATACTGTTGTTATTGTTTTGTGGCAGCAACATCATTCGTATCATCAAAATTGTTACTATAGTAAAAATTTTGCAACTATAGTTGCAAACAAACACACACATACACATCTAACTACACAAATAAATTGTAGACAAAGTCAAAGAGGACGACGACGGACGACTATGGCTGAGAATGATGGTGATATGCAATCGATATTTTATTATTTGTATAAAAGAAATTTAAGTAAAATTTTTGCTTTTCATTCGTTTGACTTGGTTTTTTATCACTGATGATTTTTTTCTAGTCATGTTGTTTGTGCAAACAGCAAATATTGTTATTTTTATGTTTTTTTTTTTTGCTTTTTTTGTGAGAGTTGTATTGTATGTTTAAAACAAAAAATGTATTTCATACATTTAATTTAATATAAATTGGGGAAAAATAGTTTTGTTAACAATAATACATTTTTTACATTGAATAGTGAAGTAATTTATCTTCCACCAACACTACTAAAGACACCACAAACTCATTATTATCCTTGCAATGATCATTAAACATCATCATTTATATAAGTATTAAACTACAAGTACATCACACTTTTTTACCAATAGCTAAAGCTAAACGCACTGTTTGTTACAACTGAAAATATTTCTACAACATTTGACACGCACTTTACCATAGATTATTTATTTTACTCTTTTTCACATAATTTATAACTCTGTTAGTTATTTATTTTTTTGGGAGAAAGAGAAACGTAAATCGGCTTAAATTTAAGATAGTAGGGAGGAATAAATTTCGGGAGTAGATTTTTTTAGAAATCAAAAATACCGTGGCATCACATGATACTTTCGGCACTTTTCCTACCTTATAAATTTTATAATTTCTTATACATTTTAGAGAAATAGTCCACATAGTGGTCAATAGTCTAGTTTGTAGTTATTCTAGTCTATAGTCTAGTCTATAGTCTAGTCTATAGTCTAGTCTATAGTCTAGTCTATAGTCTAGTCTATAGTCTAGTCTATAGTCTAGTCTATAGTATAGTCTACTAGTCTATAGTCTAGTCTATAGTCTAGTCTATAGTCTAGTCTATAGTCTAGTCTATAGTCTAGTCTATAGTCTAGTCTATAGTCTAGTCTATAGTCTAGTCTATAGTCTAGTCTATAGTCTAGTCTATAGTCTAGTCTATAGTCTATAGTCTAGTCTATAGTCTAGTCTATAGTCTAGTCTATAGTCTAGTCTATAGTCTAGTCTATAGTCTAGTCTATAGTCTAGTCTATAGTCTAGTCTATAGTCTAGTCTATAGTCTAGTCTATAGTCTAGTCTATAGTCTAGTCTATAGTCTAGTCTATAGTAGTCTATAGTCTAGTCTATAGTCTAGTCTATAGTCTAGTCATAGTCTAGTCTATAGTCTAGTCTATAGTCTCGTCTATAGTCTAGTCTATAGTCTAGTCTATAGTCTAGTCTATAGTCTAGTCTATAGTCTAGTCTATAGTCTAGTCTATAGTCTAGTCTATAGTCTAGTCTATAGTCTAGTCTATAGTCTAGTCTATAGTCTAGTATAGTCTAGTCTATAGTCTAGTCTATAGTCTAGTCTATAGTCTAGTCTATAGTCTAGTCTATAGTCTAGTTATAGTCTAGTCTATAGTCTAGTCTATAGTCTAGTCTATAGTCTAGTCTATAGTCTAGTCTATAGTCTATAGTCTAGTCTATAGTCTAGTCTAGTCTATAGTCTAGTCTAGTATAGTCTATAGTCTAGTATAGTCTAGTCTATAGTCTAGTCTATAGTCTAGTCTATAGTCTAGTCTATATAGTCTAGTCTATAGTCTAGCTATAGTCTAGTTAGTCTATAGTCTAGTCTATAGTCTAGTCTATAGTCTATATAGTCTAGTCTATAGTCTAGTCTATAGTCTAGTCTATAGTCTAGTCTATAGTCTAGTCTATAGTCTAGTCTATAGTCCACTAGTCTATAGTCTAGTCTATAGTCTAGCTACTA